AATGTGCGGGGCGGCAGGGAATACCCTCAGGTTCACTCTCACTGGGTGCGTGTGCTGCCGCCGGCCTCGCACCCCTGTCCGGCTGACACCCTCTCTGTTTTTTTCCCGACAGGAATTTCATGGTGACGGGCTTGCAGGATATCGACAAATGCCGCCAGCAGCTCCACGATATCAGCGTGCCCTTGGAAGTTTTCGAGTGAGTAGCTTTGCGTCTGGGAAAGGCAAAGCGCTGCAGTTGGTGTGGGTCGAGGTGTCGTGTCTTTGCAGCATGGATGTTTTCCCTGAGGTCTGCTGAGTGCCTGACCAGAGTGTGAGCAGGCAGAGGAGGGTAAGGAGTACCTTCTGCCTTTGAGAAGGCAGAAAGGTAAGAGAACAGATACAGTCTGCAGGTGTCTTTGTAGAATAACAGGGTGGTTTGGGTTGGAAGGGACCTTAAAGATATCAAAAGGAATGTGGCCAGCAGGCCAAAGGAGGTGATTCTCCCACTCTGCTCTGCTCTCGTGAGACCCCACCTGGAATGCTGCATGCAGTTCTGGTTGTCCTCAGCATAAGAAAGACATGGAACTGCTGGAGCAAGTCCAGAGAAGGCCACAAAGCTGATAAGAGGTCTGGAGCATCTCCCCTATGAAGACAGGCTGGGGGAGGGAGTTGGGGCTGTTCAGCCTGGAGAAGAGAAGGTTGTGTGGAGACCTCATAGCAGCCTTTCAGTATCTGAAGGGGCTGCAAGGGAGCTGGAGAGGGACTCTTTGTTAGGAACTGCAATGATAGGACAAGGGGCAATGGGTACCAACTGAAAGAGGGGAAATTTGGTCTAGATATTAGGAAAAAGTTTTTTACTGTGAGGGTGGTGAGAAACTGGCACAGGTTGCCCAAGAAAGTAGTGGCTGCCCCAACCCTGGCAGTGTTTTAAGCCGGGCTGGATGAATCGTTGAGCAACGTAGTCTGGTGGGTAGGTGTCCCTGCTCATAGCAGGGGGTTGGGACTAGATGACCTGTAAGGTCCATTCCAACCCCTAAAATTCTATGATTCTACAATATAGTTCCAATTCCCTGCCATGGGCAGGGGTACCAATTTAGTAAGTAAACTTTCATTTGTGTGTCATTGGTCTGCTGTGTTAGTGTGTTAGTGGCTATACAGGACTTTTTTTTTAGCTGGGCTTTCACTTTGGCTGTAAGCTTGTGATGATAGTCTTAAATGTTCTGTTTATTCAGTAGTGGAATTCCACTTTGTCAGGCACTTGTATTGCAAAGCAGAAATAGACTTACATGTTTGCTGGTACAGATGTGTCAGTTTTTACTCTTTACTATGGTATGTGCAGTTCCTCATCCCTGAATTGCTGGGTGCCATATTGCTGTGTGCTTATTGCTCACCATGGCCTAAGTTGGCTGCTTCATGGTTAGTGCCCTTTCAGTTGCTTGGAAAAGGACTATCTTTCTTTGTTCACCTGTGCTTATTGCCTGTGAGGAGCTTGTGGATACATACTTTTGTTTGCTTTTAATACTTTCTTCAAAGCTCTTCAGGCTTTCTGGAAACAGAGCTGTTTGCTGGCTGTGGCCTAGTTCCCCCTTGAGCTGCCTTCGGAAGTGGCTAAGTTAAACTGTGGTTTGTGAAATGCACGTTTCAGGTAGTAGTAGTAAGAAAAAGACAGCAGGATGAATAATTTCAAACCTTGGAGGGCATCCTCATAAGAATAAGATCATGTAGGTATTCTCTTTTCTGTTTCCAGATACATAGATCAAGGCCGCAACCCTCAGCTTTACACCAAAGAGTGTCTGGAGCGAGCGCTGGCTAAGAACGAGCAAGTAAAAGGAAAAATTGACACAATGAAGGTAAAACAGACATAATGAAAGCATTAATGCAATAATGTGTTTGATAAGTTCACAGTTTTCTGCAAATATATGAGTATTTTTCACTTTTGCAGCTAATCCATTATGCAGTGGTTTGTATTAGGAATTGGTCTGCATCCCTGTATTTTAAGTGATGCTAACATACCCTGTTCTCGAAAGAAAACTTGTAATTCATCCCACAGTTGGATACGCAGATGTCACTGTGACTTTATTTTGGTTAAAGTTGCATGCAGCAGTACAGATGTTTTATTTGGTTTATTTTACAGGTCTGTACTTCTGATGTGTGTAAATTTAGAAATAAGCAAAAAAAAAGGGGCATTTTTGCCAGTCTTCAATGGATCTTAGAGAGGGTTACAATGTCAAACATGCAATATAAGCATGAGTTAATCTTTATGAAATTAATGAAAGCATATACCATTGTTTAAGGGTTTTTGAACTTGCACTGTAATCTAGGATGAGCCTAAACGTCCTGTGATACTGCTGAACTGCTGTGGAAAAACACAGTCAGGAAAGGAAGTTTAGTGTGTTTAGAGAAGAGTCTGTTTGTGTTTCAGAATGTTACTTGGCTGAACTTAAAATTAGTGTGGAGGATGGCAATTTGTGACACAGAATGAGACATATCTCCATATGTCCTCAGCTTCTCTTTCTTTTGATATGCTCTGTGCTTCTAAAAGTTGTAGGAAGAATTATGTATTTCTAAGCCAGGTGTGAGTTTCTTTCTGGAGGTGGAGTGGATTCCATATCATTTCCAGAGGACATGTCCTTATCAGCTTTGCTTAATAAGGTGAGGCAGATACTGATGCACCAGAGTTTACTGGAGAGGTCCAGCTGCTTTGAATTTCTTAGGTGGAAATGCTAGTTAATTTGGGGGAATTTAAGAGCATTTTAGTTCTCCTGGTGCATTCCTAGCAGAATTCCTTCATTTGATCATTTTATCTGGATTTTGTCAACATAATTTTCTGTGTTTGTCTGGTTTTGAGGGTGGGTTTTTTTTGAGTACCACTCTGTTAGGTCACTGAAATGCAGAGCCGTGTTGTAGACAAACATTTCTGTTCATCAGATAACTTTGCTTGATGTTATCTAAATAAATTATGCAGATAATGTATATACATTTTTTTTCTCTCTCCAGAAATTTAAAAGCCTGTTAATTCAAGAACTGACAAAGGTGTTCCCAGAAGACATGGCAAAGTACAAAGCTATTCGAGGAGAAGATCCTCCTCCTTAAGTTGGCCTTTGATAGCTCTAACATTGTCCTGTAAATTGACACCACTATGTTCAAACATTGATTGGAGAGAGGGGGAATCCAAGCCCGTGTAACAACTGTACTAAAAATGGCAGTGATGGACTGTAAAGCTCCTTGATGCTTGTTGCTGATACTGGTCTGAAGCTACTGAATCTTTCTGAAGCCTTCTACTCAGAGATTGTAGTTGAAACTTCCTATGGTAATCTGCTTTTCTTTGCTGAAAGGTTTTGGAGATGTAATTGCCTACAGGCCATCAATACAGAGCATTTCTCACAAAGTGCATTTCCAGAGCAGAAAACCATGGGTTGGTTGTTTGTTTTTCTTTCTGAAAAGTGTGCCTCAGGATTGTGGGCTCATCTGTTTGTAAGACATGCATTTATTACACTTGATTATTTTATATTTGTAAACTTCCCTCTTTTAAAAAATTGCAGTTGACAAACAGTTGACTGCTTTCATCTTGCCAAATTCTGCTGAGCAGGAGCCTGTCAAGGGCTGCTGTTCTCATGTGTCATAATGAGTTACAGCCAGGAAATCCTTCAGATGTTCTTGTTATGTTCTGTGAGCTGCACTGCAGATACTTGAGGATATAGAAAGTGAGCATACCCGGGGACTAGCTCCTCAACAACTTTAATATTTTGTACAGTATTTAATCTAAGCTTTTGTTTATTCATTTTCTGCAAGCAAGTTGTTGAATAAAAATGTGAAAAATTCTATATCCTGGTGTTTTGTCTGTTGTATGCAACTCTTTGGAGTGGGAGAAACTGGGAAAAAACAGCAATTCCTTAGACTCACAGTGATAGAAATAAAATGTGTATCAACACTCAGCTGTTAAAATTTTACCTCTGAAGGTAATGTCATCTTGGTATTTTGGCTTTGTGGTGAAAACTTCCCATTTAGTACCTGAAGCAGAAGATTTTGGGGAGCAGCAATTGTCACCTGAAATGCTGCTGGCTAGCTGCAAGCTTGTCTGTGGGATCTGTAACTGTTCATATGTAAGGTGGTCCCATCATGGAACAGCACCTTGGGCTCCACGGTGTGTGTGCAGAAGAGTAAGTTTGCAGTGGGAGCAAGAGGAGCTCTGTCAGGCTGGAAACATTCATGCCTATGTTTGTTCTTCCAGATGTATCCTGACTCTTTTTTTTTTTTTTGCACTACCAGATTATATTGTTTTAACTTTCTTCTAGTTGCTAAACTGGGTGGTTTTGGGCAAGAGCTATATGCATGCACTCCATTGCGGACCTACCTAGTCTGCTAAAGATTTTAACAGGGGTTTAGGTATGTTTGAGTTGTGTGCAACCTATGGCATCAACCTGTAGTACCTTCAGTGCTCAGATACCTGCGTGAAGCAAAGCCCATCCAAAGCACCACTGGGCCTGACCAGACTTTGACATGGCAAAAGGACAAAGAGAAACAGAAAACTAGGTGTTCTTTTAAAGATTCTTACCTAGCAGTCTAATCTCATTGTTGCCTGATAGTACCCCACCCTGGTCTGCACCCTTGCTTTTTCTTGTATATGTTCCACTGCTTGTCCCTTTTTCCTTCACTATTTTACTGTACAAACTTGAAAGACACCAGTGACAAAGAAAAGGCACACCGTATTTGCCTTTTCCTCAGCACATTGCCCTAGGTCCCTGGGAGCTTTTGAAGCCTGTGACTGTTAAGTGGGATGTAGGTCATGAGTTGAGAGGGTGAAGAGTATTTTTCCTGTGTGTAAAATGTGGTGGGAAAAGGAGCTTGAGAGCAAAATCATCAACAGTAGTTTCATGTGCCTGCCTGGTTGAGAGAACATTTAGGGGCAAGAGGCCTGTAGATCCTGATCTGGATGCTGAAGTATTCTGGCTCCTAGTGCTGACAGCGAGTTGTATGTCAGACTTGGTGGAGTAGGACACTTAACAACTGGTGCTTCCAAGAAGTCTTGTTTTTATATCATAGATTCATGGTTTGGGTTGGAAGGGACTTTGAAGATCATCTAGTTCCAACCCCTCTGCCACAGGGGAGTTGCTTATAGCTGCATCCAACCTGGCCTTGCACAATTCCAGAGTTCGGGTATCCACAGCTTCTCAGAACAACATGTTCCAGTGCCTCATCACCCTCACAGTAAAGAATTTCCTCATAATATATAACCTAAACCTACCCTCTGTGAGTTTGAAGCTTCTCAGAACAACATGTTCCAGTGCCTCATCACCCTCACAGTAAAGAATTTCCTGATAATATATAACCTAAACCTACCCTCTGTGAGTTTGAAGCCATCACCCCTAGTCCTGGGATCAGCCAGGAGTCAGAGAGCCATGGGGGCAGGAATCTCCACAGTCCCAAGGCCCTGCAAATGTGTGAAATATCTGCTCTGTAAGTGTATGGTTTCTTATCGTTGTTAGTTAATAAATTAAGTATCCAATGCTGGCTGCAGTGAAGATGGTTACCCCAACACTGACACCCATGTTTGGTGATGGAAGCAAAGTCCCAGGCTTCCCTGGCTTGGAGAGATGATTTACAGCCAACGCATGGACTACGTGCTTCCCCTGGATATCTAGGTGGTCATGGTAAAGGGGTCAACTTGGATAGTGCAGATGGAAGATTAGGGAATAGCATTCCTTATAGGTCACATCATCATAGGATGTCAGCACTATGTGTTTTGTGGGGATTCTGTCTGTGTAAGAAAACGTTTTTGTGGCTTAGGAATAAAAATAAATAAAACCAACCAACCAAACAAGAGAAAAAGCCCTCCACTAAACTATCAGGGTTCATGTTTTGCTCAACTTCAGTTCCAACTTTGTGACGCTTTCTTATTCTATTATTTTATGCTTGTTTCACTTACTGTTTCTGGGCTGGCCATGCAAAATATTGCTATTGATGCAACTGTCCACATTTAGCGTAACAGGTAACTGCTGTAATTTATGTGTGTTTTAAAGAAGAAAAGGTAGCCAGGATAAGTCCACTTGAATTTGTAGTGTAGAAAGAATTCTTAGAAACAATGGTGTTTTCTGTTTCCAATTGCATATAGAACACAAAAATCCAACTTAATTTTTCTCTAATTTGTTAACTGGTTCTCTGAAAAGGGGATAATGTATGAATTACCCTGATGTATGCTCTGGTTAGATGATAACCTTCAAGACATTTGTTAAAGGAGAATTATATCTTTGCTCTTTCATTGGATTGCATGGATGGAGTTTTCCATGGAGCTGGAATTTTATTTAAAGCTAACATTAAAATAATATCAACCAGGCAAAAAAAATCTAAAATAATTGAAGGGCAACGCAAATTTATCTCAAAGGAAAATATGAAGCCATTCAAGTTTCTAGTGTATCCTTGAATTTTTAGTAAGATTTTGAAAACAATAGGGAATATGAACTTACAGGTCATTGCTTATTTTTCTAAACTGTCCTATTAATTATCCTTATTATATACCCTTTTAAATGAGATACTAGATAATGCTGCTGGGCACACAGTTCTTTAAGACGGAGCATATGCTCCACTTAGGATAAACAAAGTCAGTATAAAATTCTTTTGCTTGGGCATGGAAAGAAATAGATAAGGTGCAAAGGATTTTTCTGCAACCTGTTAAGGCTCAGCATCCTCTCTGTCCCTTTTCCTACTTGAAGGAGAAGCAGTTGGGTGCCCAGCCTTCCCCTGTCCTTGAAACCTCTTTTAGCTTAAACCTCCCCATGAAGGACACCTAATGCAGAGCTGTGAAGTCTGACAGGGACAGACGTACCTGTTGTAGGAGTTGGATGCTGCAGCTGCTCAGCTGTGGGTATATCTAACCCATAGCTCTCATTAGGGTTGGTTTTTTTCCATGCAGATCAAGGCACTGTCATTTCTAGCGGGTTCTCAGAGTAAGATAAAGCACCAGTGTGCCTGAGGCAATCTGTTACTCTCACACCATCCAGAGCCGAGTTTCTTGATGCAAAAAGCCATTCTAGGCAGAGCAGTTTGGGTTTCACTGACTGACCTTTCCAATTCAGTTGGATGAACAGCTAAGTGGGGGGAATGGTTTGATGATTTCCCAAATCTTTCATATGGTGATGTTTTTATAAATTGCTTTATTTGATGAATGCAGCTCCCATGTGGTTGAAAGTGCTTATTGTATGATTCTAGTAGTTATCCAACGTGCTCTGTAATCTCAGCTTTGATCTCCTCTGATCATAGCAATAGAGAAGAGGTACCTTACAATCCACTTCTTTTTGCCTTTAATGATCTCTGAGGTCTTAACTAGATCGGTTAGAAACTACTAACTGAACTTGCAGTTATACTGAAACCTCTCTAAATCAATGTATTTAGAAGGCAAATTATATAAACAAAGGCTTGAAAAATGTGCAAGAAGTGTTCCAAATACTGAGCTTAACAGCAAGTTCATAATAGAGAAATATCCTTGCCAAGAATATTTCTGGATACTCATGTTTCAACACAAAGTCATTTCTTACTCTACTATGATTAATAGCTGCAGCATTTCTGGACAGGTGCCAGATGTCCTTCCAGCTCTGCAGAGCAGAGAGCCAAGGTGACACGAGTATCAGCTCTGCTCTCAGAAAACTGTGTTTGCTGCATGTATTTCAATTACTTCCATATGCTTAAGATCCTTCTGTATACTTTCTTAATTAAAATAATGGAGGAGCACACATTACAAGACACTCCTGTAACAGCTCTTGTAATGCTGTTAGTTGAAATCAGGAATCTGTATTTTCTGTATTGTGTCATATTTCATACTGAGAATGAGATTGTATTTAGTCTCCACAAAATGTAATGCAGACTGTAAAAATGAAACATATTTCTGCACAGTATGAAAATCTTCAAAACAATTCCTTCTCTTCTCCTGAAAGAAAAGTCCCCTTATGTGCTAAGAAATTACATGTAAAACTTCCACTCCTAAAGATCTGACCTGAATTTACTTCACATGCTGTTTGTAATTTGGTCATTGCAGTAAACAAATTTATCCAAATATTCCTCAAAGGAAGACAAAGCTACTTTTATGTATAATCTGGGAAAAGGTAATTCAAAATTAGTGTCATGCTGCATTATTCAATGAGATACTTGGGTCATATTTATATAACTTCTGCTGAAAAAAATAGCATTTTCTCTTCATGTTAATTGTTGACATTCATAATCTTTTATTTGAAATGTCACTAAGGATTCAAAATTCCTGTGATTGTATAAATGTAGTGATATATACCGAGCCACTTCTGTACCATCATGGACATTTTCAGTCTTCATCTGTAAAACGGACAGAAGCTTATACCTGTCTGTCACAGAAATCACTGTTAGGTGCCCTTGTGGGGAAAATGCTTTACCCTTAGGCCTCTTAGAAAGACACTGCTGAAGTAAGAGATTATCATTTAAACATATGAGAAATTCCATCTTCAAACTTATTATTTGTTTCAAAGTAAGCTACCTTTTCAATAATAAACTATTATCTATTATTTTATTACATTTGACCTATACTTTTTGAGAGATTCTCTTGCATGGTCAAAGCCCAAGACCCAAGAAGTTCTAGCAGATAAAAATGGCTTTGAATACATCTCTAATCAAACATCAGGTGTCACTCAGTCTAAGACTATTTAATATAATTTTCAGTCATCACATATTAGGTTACAGTACTTGAATGATTGAATTGGTATCTGGTACTCAATAAAACAAAAGATGGATTCAGTGATACACAAAATCTTATTTAAGAGAAGTATGTTAAAAGAAATGTATCAACAACATCTCTCCTTTCAGATATCTTCTTTCACATTAAGAAAATTGAAAAACTCTCAAGCAATCTTTTCAGAGTACAATCAGCATAAATTATGTGACAGCATTTTTATTGCTTTTAACTCAGCCCAGGGGTTTCTCTTCTTATGCA